GATACCACAAGAAAATTCACAGAATCAAGTAACCTGAGCTCATAGGGGCTCACAGAAATTGAACCAACAACCACAGAGCCTGTATGGGATTGACCTCAGCACTCTGCTTGTGTGTTACATTTGTGTAACGTGGCTTTCTATGGGACTCCTAACAGTTGGCGCAGGGACTATCTCTGATTTACTGGCCTTGGGATGCTATTCCTCGTACTAGGTGCCTTATTCAGCCTTAATACATGGGGAGATACTTGGTCTTACTACAACTTGATATGCTATGTTTGTTGATATTCATGGAAGACCTGTCTTTTCATAAACAGAAATGGAGGAATGAATTGATGACATTGGGAACAGTGATGGCATCACGGGAAAGGACTGGAAGTAAAGGAAGTTGCAGGAACTGTGATTGGGACGTAAAATAAATAAATAAATTCATGTATTTAAAAACCTCTAAGTATTCAAAGAACAAAATTGAAGATGATATTAGAAGATGGAAAGATCTCTTATGCTCATGGATTATATGATTAACAGTAAAAATGACCATCCAACCAAAACCAATCAATAGATTCACTGCAATTCTTCTCAAAATCCCAAAACCATTCTATACAGACCTTTAAAGAACAATTCTTAGCATCATAATGAAAAAATGTAAAGCTAAACATATCATAAACCCATGATAGCTAAAACAATCCTAAGCAATAAAAGAACTCCTGGCACTATCGCCATTCATAATTTAAAGTTGTACTACAGACCTATAGTAATAAAAACTGTATGATATTGTCACAAATCAGGCAGATTGATCGAGGGAACTGAAGACACAGTCATAAAACCACACACTATGGACACCTGAGTTTTGATAAAGAAGCCAGATATACACACTGGGATAAAGAAAGCAACTTAAATAAATTGTGCTGATCAAACTTGATGTCTACATGTAGAAGAATACAAATATATCTATATTTATCACCCTGCACAAAACTCATGCCCACTTGGATCAAAGACCTCAAGATAAACCCAGGTACACTGAATCAGACAGAAGAGAAAGTGGGGAATAGCCTTAAACTCACTGGCAAAAGAATAGATATTTTGAAAATAATATCTATAGCATAGGCACTAAGATAAACAAATGCGACCCCATGAAACTAAAAGGCTTCTATAAGGCACAGGACAACTTCAATAAGAAAAAATAGCAGCCTATGGAATGGGAAATAATTTTTTCATCAACTCCACATCTGGTAGAGGTCTAATATCCAAGATATATAAAGGACTTAAGAAACTAGATATTAAAAAACAAAATAATTCAATTAAAATAGGTACAGATCTAAACAGAGAAGTCTCAGTAGAGGATTCTCAGATGGCTAAGAAAGACTTAAACATCCTTAGCTATCAGGGAAATGGAAATCGACACTACTTTGAGATTCCATTGTAGACCTGTCAGAATGACTAAGATCAATAAACACAAGTGGCAGCTCATGCTGCTGCTGAGGTGGAGCATCTTAAACTTGTGATCCTCTTGCTCCAGCTTCCTAAAGAGCTGAGGCTACAGTCCTGCATCCATAGGAATGAGGAACAAATGGAGAATTGTGGAATTTTTAACTATGTAAGATGTGTTATATGTGTTTATGCTGTGGAGTATTACTTTTCCTATGTGAAGGTGTGTTACATCTGTTTATACTTCCTTTGTTAGCATGTAAAGATGTGTAACATTTGTTTATACTGACTGCATTTGTTTAATTATGTAAAAATGTATTGCATTTGTTTCACCTTGCCTGCTTAGGGCATCTGATTGGTCAAATAAAAAGCAAATAAAATAACATCTAATTGCTAGGCAGTACAGAAATTGGCTGGGCTGGTGGGCAGAGAAAGAATAAGTAGGAGGAGAAATCTAGGCTTGAAAGGAAGGAGAAAGTAGAATGCAGAAGAAAGAGAGGACACACCCAAGAAGCCAGGCAGCCATCAGCCAGACAGATAGGAGAAGAAGGAAAGTATGACATACAGAAAGAAAGGTAAAAAGCCCTGATACAAATCATAGATAAAGAGGAACAGATTAAAATGAGATAAGGTAGACTACTCATAACTAATAATAATCTCTGTGTCATGGTTTGGGAGCTGCTTGGTGGCCCAAAATGAAAAAAGCTTGCTACAGAAAATATTGTATGTTATGAGATGTTTATTATATGTAGCCAGTATGAGGGATTGAGTGAAATAACAATATATAAACACTTCCAAGAGAGTTGAATTTAAAATTGAAGCTCTAAAGTATTAGATACAGTGTAACACTTATATAAAGATAGTTTTTATATCACACAACACTTTATATTACACAACACTTATATAAAGATATCATTTACTCACACCAATGAATTAATAGATATTAGAAATTATATACAACAGGATGGCCTTGGTAATGGGTAGATATGGAGACCCAAAGTGAGAAAGTGAGATCAATGAGAATTTTTAGCTTAGCAGCTCTTTAAAAAATTTATTTAACTTTCTTTTTAATGTGCATTCTTGTTAGACTCCTTTGGAACTGGGGCTACAGAAAGTTGTGAGCTGCCATGTGAGTACTGGGAATTGAACCCGGGTCCTTTGGATGAATAGTCAGTTCTCTTAAATGCTGAGCCATCTCTAGCAGCTCGTTTTAAAGTTGCACAAGTAACATACAATTATGAACTGGTTTTGTAATTAAAAATAATTTAAAAATTTTAAAAGATGGAGATCTGATAAACCAAATTTAAAAAACATTTTATAATTTTAACTTCACTAACATAATCATAAAATCATCATATTAGCAGGGCATGGTCAAACAATCCCTGCACTTGGGAGACAGAGGCAGGAGAATATCTGTAAGTTTCAGAACAGCATGGCCTACACAACAAGTTCCAGGGCACCCAGGGCTACACAGTGGTATCATATCTCGAAGACACACACAAACAAATAATGAATTTTTATGTCATCCCTCTCCCATATAGAAAACATATCACTATCTATTCACTCTTAACTTTCCTTAAAAAATTTATCTTCAGATTTAATCACCGAATCACTAAAATCATTGTAATCTAACAAGAAGTACAATTAAAACTGAATAGATGTGAACAGAAGGAGCAGGAATACCTTGCTCTTCACTGTTGAAAACTCACCTAGGAAAGGATTTTACCAAGAAAACACTCCAGTAAAAATTCTGTCACACTGGAAAACCTTTTGATCCTTTTACAAATTCGTCAGGAAAGCAGGTGAGAACTATAGTGATCTCCTGAGATGACTTGCTTTACGATGCAAGGAAACATACCCCACCCTCTTCAACCATCCCCTCAAGGACCATGCACAAGCTTAATTTTGTCAAGCGACTGATGTTCTTGGAGATGGGTACGAGTCAACTCACAAGCAGATGCTGAGAAAATTGAGTGTGATCGATTTTCTAAGGTTAACACTGACCTCAGACACCAACAGCCTGATAAATTAAAACTAACTCCTGCTTTCTGAAAGAAATCTCACAACCCAGGGATGCTTTTGTCATATTGGAGTGCCACATTGGCAATCTTAATGAATTTTACTTTTCTTTAATTATCACATTTTTGGCATCAATATAAAAGTATAGTCTCCCCAGGAAAGGAAGGAGGAGGAAAAAGAAGAGGAGGAGGAGGAGGAGGAAGAGGAAGAGGAGGAGGGAGAGGAGGATGAGAAGAATTAAATCAAACTGTGTATTACTCACAGACATGCACAAATAGCAACAAAAAGGAAATTAAAATTCCTTGTGTCTTTCTTTAGTAGAACACATTGAGACTGCTATAACCTTTGACCCTTCACTTGGCCACAAAACATCGCAAGTTGCTCCTTCGAGTACACAAACCACATTTTCTCTAGTGATTTCTTAAAGAGCAAAGCTTGGGGAAAATCTTTCTACCATAGATTTCTCAAGAAAATTTTCCAAAGAAAAGCACCCAAGGCAGGTGTCTGAACACTCAGCCCTTGTTGTCACCAGGCTCCTATGGCACTAGGGCTCCAAGAAGACAACCCCTAAGATATCAGAAATTATGCCACAAATAATTAATATCACTAACTTCTTTGGCATCATGAAAAAAACTAATTTAAAAAATTTCATGAAGCATTCTAGAGCTGAACATAATTATGATCCTTGAAATTTTAACAACATTTCCCCTTAGACTCTGTAGTGATGGACTGTAACATCATAAAAATCTTAGAGATAGATCACATTTAGAGTGAACGACACTGAGAAAATGTTCAAGTACACACACCTGGCAACATTATCTGTTGGATTCATTTAGCATTTATTGGGCTTCCATTCAACAAAACAAAACAAAGCAAAAAAAAATAGTTTGGAACACACAGGAATCTAAGAATTAACTATGTCTTTTTGGTCTTTCTGCATCAAAACGCCAGAGTTATCATTGCAATGATGACGACCTTAACCAGAGGCTGCAATTAATTATAAGGGTAACAAAAGGAAAACAAGGAAGAACCACTCATGTGTATTTAGTACCATTACTTTCTTTTGTCTGCGTGAATCCATAAAAGATATGAATAAATATTTTTAAAAAATCACCCTATTTAATAACAGTACTCTTCATAATATCCATAAAATATTTTTAATATTCTGATAACAGACTGCTTGACTTGCATGGTTTTGCTAAATAGTCAGAGAGATTGCTGTTTTCTCCTATGAGAATAACATAAATTACTAAGGCACAGTATCCAAACAACATTTGAGTTTTAATAATTCTAAAATTTCAGAGCTGCAAAAAAAAAAAAAAATCCCCATAGCGTTTGCTTACAAATTCTACAGTCCTATCTGCACAAGTAGCTGATGGCATCACCATCACAAAACCTTCCATCATGCTGCTCTGAGACTGACGAGGGAGGGGGTCTTCAGAGCAAAGCTTGCGTCCCACTGGGCTATAGTCCCACTCACTGGCAGTTAGCTAAGAAAACTTAATGTACTTTGAGTATTTATCCCAACGTAAGATTACAAAACATCAGTCACTTACGATTTTGAGTCATCCCATAACACACAATAGGGATTCAAAGTGCCCTAAAAATAAAGAGAACAAAATATACCATGAGTATACATACAAAAATTGTTGAATTTTTGAAATACACATTGAACGTTGGCTTTATAATCTTGTAGTCAAAGATACGTTAAAGATATACCACAAAGGGTTTTCGTTTCATCCTGTACGAAATTCACATTTTCTTTCCCATAGATTTGGAAATTTTGTTTGGTGAAATTTTATCAAAACAATTATCTTTATTCCAAATATAAATAGTTTTTAGTATGTTGAAAAAGAAAACTGAATGCCTCATATGTTGTACGGTCATGTCATGGTGATTTCTATGTCACATTCATTTCCCTGATTGTAATTGCTCAATTGCATTATTTATGAAGACCAAGGCATTTACAACGTTATGCGAGAGTGAAAGGCCCACCCAGCACCACACGTGTGCACACCCCAGCACCATGTCATCTCGTTGGCTTTTCCTAGAGAACAAGAGAATTGGTAAATGTCCATTTCCAGAGCCCAGTAACAACGGAACTTTAATTAACAGGTCATATTTCAGTGAGGTCATATGTAATGAAACTCTAAGAAAAGGAGGTGCTAGATTTTATGCATCTCAGTAATGCTGTGTTAAATATCCACCATGGCCTGTATGATGGTTTTTCTACACCCAGTTAGTCCAAGTAATTTGTTTTGAAGAGTCCTGATATTGACAAATGATTTCTTTCTGTTTGTCTGTTCATAATTGGCTTTCTACCCCCTTAAATCTACCTCAATTCTTGATGTAAAATATTTACATATCTAAAAATTCTATCATGCTCCCTAAGAGTTTTTACTATTCCATTTAAGACATCCTGGGGCTTCATTTTCTCTTATTCTTCATGATACATACTTCCTGAGACATATCTTAAAAGTCCACTTAGGTAAATCATCCACTTGCATCCAATCTGTGCAGTGCCAAGTGGTGCTATTTCCTCTCCCATTTAGAAAACATATTTATAATAATATAAACTAAAGATTATATCAGCTAGCTGGTAATGTCTTCCTGAACTGGAGTGCTATTACTCACATTGCCTCTTACACAGAGTCTATAGGGAACCTTTAAATTCTGACATGGGTATCCTACAACTCACTGTCATTTCGAAGCTTTGAATCATCTGGTTAAGATGCACACATGACTGTATCCCCATCGCACCAAGTCATTGGTGAAATCAGTGACTGAGCCAACCCAGTTTAAGAGACACAGAGCTAATACGGACTGCTGTGTTCCCTTTTTCATGTAAACACACTCCTTAGGAAACAACCAAGGATAATTCAGTCTTTAGAACCCCAAGTCTCTAATTACAGGGCTGAAAGGAATGTCCCGAATGTCTAGAAAGGAGTCATGGTGGGACAAAAGATATTCACTGGATCAACTTTGGAATTTTATTAGAAATAAAAATCAGTCCCATTAAAGTTTATGAAATCAACTTAACCTCATTTATTTATTATATATTTTAATAGCTATGTATGAATACTTCTAATATTTATAACACAATTTTACTACCAAAAGAACATATTCAAAGTGTCTTATCATCAAATAATCATATCCAAATACTATGTTTTCAGGATCTATTATATCATTAATATTCTCCCTTTTATGGAAAAGAATGGCCATAGCCCTATAGAAGGTAAATAAACATACAAATGGAATGTTTCTATGACAAGCAAAGAGATATAAATATCACAAGTCAGAGATTCCTAAGAATGACACTAACAGTCTGTGCTAATAGCAAGAGGTTTTATGGAATGCATAGGTCCTCATCCGGCTTTTAAGTGAAAAGTATATCTGCATGGTCATGAGATGGGGATACGATGGTGTCCCACATAGATTTTTTCCTGTCTTTATCAGATCTTATCTGGTTGTTCTTGGATTAATGACTATTGTAATTTTTCCGATAAATATTAAATAGCTAAAATATCATATAGCTTTGTTGTATTTATCTAATATTTTATTCACAGCAGATCATTATCCTTGATTTATCACAATGAAGAGGACTTGGAAGTGCACATTTCATGAATATTAAATACAAGTATAGGTAAGGAATCTGCTTCTAGAAATCTTCCTTCCTTCCTTCCTTCCTTCCTTCCTTCCTTCCTTCCTTCCTTCCTT